CACTATATTTAAAATTTTCTTGGTTCCCCCTCACATTGTGGAAACCCCCTCCCCCCAGAGCTAATCTGTTCAAACTCAAATACTTAAAAATTACAGCAGCAAAACAAAAGCGCAGAAAAAAGAAAACCAGATGGAGAAGGTAGCCAGGCCAGTAGTGTCACTTGGTGTGGACGACTGAGGTGCTGAACAGGAGCTTCTGTTTCTGTTTTTTTCTTTTCTTTCCTCCTTTCTCTTCAGAGAGGGGATCTGAAGTAGCTGGCGTGTCCAGTTTCATGAAGGCTGCTTCAATAGCTTGGCTGAAGGAATTCTGGAAACTGGGCACAGGAACACGGTCTGAGTTATCACTCTCCCCATCGCTGTCCACAGGGGCAGGAGGACCTAAGCTGTTTTCACCTTTCTTTGGAGCAGTTTTGGGCCACACATCTGCTTTTGCTTTTCCAATTCTCAGCATCTGGGCAAAGGAAGGGAAGGGAGAGTCTTCTTCCAGACTCCCAACGCAGAATGAAGAACTGCCCTGACTGGCCGTGGGTGACAGAGGGGTCAGCAGGAAGTCTGCTTGGGAACCTGGACTTCTGCTAAGAGAAGAAAGGGAGAGAGCCCCATGGCCCTCGGTGCTGGTGGGACCCAAAGCAGAATCAGAGGAGCAGGTATAGGAATTGAAGGCAGGAAACTGCTGTAGATTCTCTAAGGGAATGTGGACTTCTGGGTACTTGCCCTGCTTCTTGTTCTCCTCCATCTCAATCCGGCGCTCTCGGCGACGTTCCTCCCGGGCCTTCTTCTGGCGCTGCCGCTTCCTCTTCTCAATATCATCTGAGAATATCCCTAGGGTTTCCTTAGAGACCAGAGGAGGCTGCAGAGCCAGTTCACAGATGCTGAACTCGCAGGTGAGCGGCAAGTGAGAGAGGTATCTATGACGCTGTCGCACATCCTCAGACATGGAATACCCAGCGATCTCCACCACCGTGGCTGAGATCTTCTCAGGGCTCTGTTCCAGGCTGCCATACTCCCGCACGAGGCAGCGCACATTCACGGGGTGCAGGAACATGTGCTGCCCATCCTCCGCTTGGTAAAAGTAGTAACAAGGAGAGCTGCTCAGGTGTGTGATGCTTGGCTTGGTGACGCGTTCCTGCTGGCTGGACTCGGTACAAATGGTCCCCTCTCCAAGATTGTCTTCTGCTAACTCCAAGTCCTCACAGGCCTCTGACAACCCCTCAGGCTCTGGTTCAGAAACTGCTTCCTCTTCCTCTACCAGAGGGAGAGCAAGAGGACGAGGAGGAGAGCCAAGAGAACAAACTTCTGTGGTCTCTTCATCAAAAGCAGACAGATACTCC